TGGGGAGAAAAAAATCACGATTTTGCTTGCAAAATTGCAAGCCGGCGTTTAAAAGGCTGAAAGCCGAGAGTTGTAAACCAGTCGGTGCCGCAGCGCGATTCTTAATTATTCTTAATAGTACCAGGTATTTATTAATTAATAGCAACTCTTGGGGTCTCCGCGTCTTCTAGTGTGCAGGGACAAAACGAGAGGGGTTTTGGGGGGAGAGGGTATAAATCTGATCTTGGGGAGGGGCGGGTTCGGGTTTTTTTTTTTTTTTGACACAACTCAGTCCCCCACCCCAATATAAGGACCCGGTAAATCCCCCCCTCCCACTACTCTCTGTTGCTGCTTTAAACGGCTTAATCTCCTTTCTGATGGGGAGGAGAAAAAAGCGAGAGAAATTGGGGTGATGTTACGTTTTGGGCTTGGAAAGACGCGGGTTTGGGAGCACGGACGCCGGCCAGAACTGAAATCCAGTTTGGAGAAGAGAGGCTCGGTTTGGAGGGAGGGAGGAGAAGCGATCAAAAGAGGTGAGGGGGGGGGAAAACAGGCATCGGGGTCTCACACTCCCGTTTTAACCCGGCCGTTCCCGTTTTTAAAAGGCCGGTCATTTCTTCCCAAGACGGTCATTTCAAACGCCTGTCTCCCTGGTGCTGAACCCGGCTGCCCCTCCAGCTACGAAATTTCACCCACCCACCCACTCCCTTCCCGTCTTATTCTTTCTTTCCAAGCGGGCAGATTAAGGCTGCGTAATTGCGCTTTTCCTTAATTACTATTTTTGGCTCGTTTTTAGCCAAGCTGCCGCGAGCAATATTATGACAAGGCTTTCAAGACGGCGGAGAAACGACTGTATAACTAATCTATGCTGCTTCTTTTCGCTTGCCTTGCGTACTACTACTATTATTATTATTATTATTATTATTATTATTATTATTATTATTATTATTATTATTATTATTTCTTCATTAAACATGAAACTAAAGTCAACTGATCATTTAAAAACGTGTCACAAATATCAGTATCATCATCATCATCTTATTATATTATCTTTTATTCATTAAACTTGAAACTCAGTCAACTGATCATTTAAAAACGTGTCACAAATACCATTATCATCATCATTATCATCATCATCATCATATTATTATTATTATTATTATTATTATTATTTATTATTATCTTTTATTCATTAAACATGAAACTCAGTCAACTGATCATTTAAAAACGTGTCACAAATACCAGTATCATCATCATCATCATCATCATCATCTTATTATCATCATCATCATCATCATCTTATCATCATCATCATCATCATCATCGCCCCCTCTCCTGACGGCGAAGCCAACGACCGCCGTATCCCAGAGCCGTCGTTAGGGTTGAAAAGGGAGAAGAGAAAACGGGAAGAAGGCGCGATTCCAGGGGAAAAAAAGGGTTTTTTAATTCGAATATATAGGAAATCCAAGCGTCTCCGCCCGCCTTCCGTTCTTTAGTGAGATGATTTTTAAGTAATATGGACGGGGAAATAATTCAAAACGCCAATAGCGGAGCGGCTTTGGGTGCGCTTTACTTAGAAGTAAGCGTGGCTGAGCGCCAGTCTCGGCGCCTTGTAAAACCAATAGGGCCGGAATAGCTGCCTTGTTTGTAATTAAATCTAATAAATATTGTAGTGACCCGCGGCTAATCAACCTGGGGGGGGGGGTGGAGGTGGGGGAGGAACTGGGAATTTAAACTCGTGGGTTTTTAAAAGCGGTGGAGAGGAGACGCGAACAGCGGAGGCAGAGAGAGAGAGAGAGAGAGAGAAGTGACAGAGAAAGAAAGAGAAATGAGAGAGAAAGATTAGAGAGAAAGAGATGAGAAAGAGAGAGAGAGAGAGAGATGTGACAGAGAGAAAGAGAGATGAGAGAGAGAGAGAAAGAGATTAGAGAGAAAGAGATGAGAAAGAGAGAGAGAGAGATGTGACAGAGAGAAAGAAAGAGAGATGAGAGAGAGAAAGAGATTAGAGAGAGAGAGATGAGAGAGAGAGAGAGAGAGAGAGAGAGAGAGAGAGAGAGAGAAATGCTCGGGATTTCGTGGGGGGAGGGAGAGGGTTACCCCCCCCCCCGAAGGTCGACAATGGAAGAAGCGGATCAATAGGTCCAAAAGGCAGAGTAAAGTCGGGCTGCGGGGGGGGGGGGGGGGGAGAGGTTTAATAAAAGAAGGAAGGAGGGGGGGAGAAAGAAAGAAAAAGAAAGAAAGAAAGAGAGAGAGAGAGAGGGAGAGAAAGAAAAGAGAAGTAAAAGAACAGAGGGAAGAAGAAAAGCCACGCGGGGGCAGAGGAAAAAAATTCAGTCCCCCACCCAAAATAACTACGTTCTCGTTCAAGGGACAAGTTATTAAATCAAGGTGAGACTCTTTTGTTTTTTTGTTTTTAATTCGGATTAACACCTGCCGACGACGGAGGGATTATTCCGTTCCGGGGCAGTCCGGCTAATTCAGGGCGGCCCTTCCTCCCAAAAAGCACGCCCCCCCCCCACCTCCCCACCCCCGTCATTTCCACCTTCTCCCGCCCTCTTCCGTTCTTTTCACCCCTGGATAATTATTAGCCATTAATTGGCTCGGGACCTTTTTCACCCGGGGATGGCGGGTGGGAGGGGGTGGGGGGGAAATAGGTAGTCCAACATTTCCCCTCCCGCCCGGGAAGAGATTAAGAGCCGCCTGGGGCAGGGCGGTGGGGGGGAGGGGGTGGGGGGAGGGGGAGTAAGGAGGCCCGAAGGAAGAGAGAAAGGAAAAGCAAGGATGCCACTTTCAGTTAAAGTTTTTTTTCTCTCTCTCGCTCCAAGGAAAGTGGCTATTTAGTGCCAGTTTTGATTCCTCCCTGTGCCAAGCTGCTTTCGTGCCAATAGGTTGCTGACAGAGGGAGGGAGGGAGGGAGGGAGGGAAGGAAGGAAGGAAGGAAGGAAGGAAGGAAGGAAGGAAGGAAGGAAGGAAGGAAAAGGGAGAAAAGAAAGGAAGGTAGAGGAAGGGAGGAAGGAAGGAAAAGGGAGAAAAGGAAAAGGAAGGAAGGTAGGGGAAGGAAGGAAGGAAGGAAGGAAGGAAGGAAGGAAGGAAGGGGAAGGAAGGAAGGAAAAGGGAGAAAAGGAAAAGGAAGGAAGGTAGAGGAAGGAAGGAGAAACAGAGAAGGGAGGGAGGGAGGAAAGAAGATGGGACCGAGGGAGGGAAGGAAGGAAGGAAGAATAAAGAGGTAGATCAATAGATAGTAAAATAATCCAGCCACTGGTTGAGGAAAAGTAAAACTGGGTTAGCCGTTTTTCTAAGGTAGGGAAGGAAGGAAGGAAGGAAAGAAGGAAGGAAGGAAGTTAGGAAGGACAGACTTCACCATCAATGTTTGGTCCTAAATAAAACACAAGTCACAATTAAGATCAAAGGAAAATATACTGTTATTCTATCTAATATATCTGAAAAGGGTGAGTGAATACTATGGTGAACTGTGCAGACTATAGAACAGTAATTGAAAGATAAACGTAAAGGGAAGGAAGGGAAGAAAGGAAGTAGAAAGAAGGAAAGGAATAAATCTTAGCCTTTTGGGGTGGGGGAGGACACCCCTCCTAGAGAAGCCAACCTCCTCCTCTTGCTGGTTACATTACCAGGTTTTTTTCATGTGAAACTATCCTCCTCAAAAGCGAGGAAGAAGACGAAAAAAAGAAGACTGCTGTTAAAAAAAAAATAAACAGAAAATCCAGGAAGGGTTTAAAATGCAAAGGGATGCATTTGGAAGCGTGGGACCTGCTAAATGGCTTATTGGCTATAAATTTAGGATGCCCACCCTCTGCCTTTTTGTTATGTCAGCTTTAACTGTGTTTCAGTGATTTTGTTTTAATTATGCCGGTGATTTTGGCTTTGTGTTTCTAATTGTAGCCGCCACAGAATCCTAAGCCTGTAATAAATGGAATAAACAACTTGTTTGCTTCTATTTTGAGAGAGAGAGACAGAGAGGGAGTAGGTGGGATATATATTTGTGTATGTATGTACCCTGTTTTCCCGAAAATAAGACCCAACCGGAAAATAAGTCCTAGCATGATTTTTTCAGGATGCCCGTAATATAAACCCTACCCAAAAATAAGCCCCAGTTAAGATCCTCAGCCAGACGGACGCAATTAGTACCGTATTTCCCCCAAAATAAGACCTAACCAGAAAACAATCCCTAATGCAACTTTTGGCGCAATCATCATCATCATCATCATCACAGTTTCGACATCACAGTTGTCAAAAACCAAAACGTACAATTTATTGACATCGCGGTACCAGGAGATGCCAGAGTCGAAGAAAAAGAACTGGAAAAAAAATCACGAAATATCGCGACCTGGCCATCGAAACTACACGGCTATGGATGAAACATGTCACAGTGATACCCCATTGTCATCGGGACACTTGGTACCATGTCCAAGAATGTTATAAGATACATCAGCAAATTTCAGCTTCCTTCAAAAAACTGCGCTAATTGGAACATCGTACATCTTAAGAAGGTACTTGGTTGATCCCTAGGACGCTGGCAGTAACCCCTATCAATCATTAGCACCAGTCAATGGTATTTGTGATGCATTTTTGAATGTTCAGTTGACTTGAGTTTCATGTTTAATGAATAAAGATAATAATAATAACTTTATTGTCATTGTACGTGTATACACAGTATACCCATACAACGAAATTCACGTAACACCTAAAGACCAGGTCCAACACACATAACAATTCCCAAACACACTCCCACCCACCACAAATTCCCCACCCCTAAACCACCCAAACATTCACACAACAGACCAAGTCATGCTGTCCAACAGCTCACTGATGGTGGCCCTTTACTCCATTGTTGAGTGCAATTATAGCTCTGGGATTAAAAACTATTCAGAAAACGTGAAATAAATAATATAAGACCCTGTCTTATTTTCGGGGAAACACGGGCATATTTTATTTTACTATCTTTTAACCCCCGGATTTCATTACTCGGTTCCAGAAATCTCCCCCTTACTCTTGTTTTTCAGAAAGAGATAAGAGAAAGAAGAACCAACAATCCAGAACTATCTAATGTAAATGGGTGGACAACATTTTGCAGTGTAACTGGGTTTGTTTGTTTTTTTCTTAATGGAGACCTGTAGAATGGAATTTTTTTTCCCCCAAAACTGGAAACCTTTTACAAAAATAAAGTTTTTTTTTTTAAGTTGTGTCAAATTTAATTGGGCCATACTGTGTTATAATAATAATTTTAATTAGCAATTTTATGATGTTTGTGTATCTGTATTTTTCTTGACTGTACACCGCCTTGAATCCTACAGGAGAAAGGCGGTATAGAAATATAATAAATAAATAAATAAATGGAGTTTGTAGTGTTTGGAGTTTTCTTGCAATTCTGATTGGCCTGGAAAAAATGGCTCCCATATGACACCTAATGGGACTAAGGCCCAATTTATAGTTATTCGCTAAAGCACCACAACTACTGATCCAGGCCACGGGGAAAAGACCTGTGGTTGCCGTCCAAATTTTGCTTGCTATTAACACTGAATCAAGTGCTCTGATCGGCTTGCTGGGTTCGCACGACAAACGGAGTCCTTCGGCCATGTTCGCAAAAGACAAACTATTGTGTTTGTCTAATCTGCAAGAGCCGGAGGAATAAGCACGGCTGCAGGTCACACAACACACAACCAGGGGACAGAGCCTGCATCCTGACAACAAGCTTAAAAAATCACAGATCGTCTTTTATGCACTGGAACATAAATGGCTGGGGGGGGGTTGTTGCCAAACCTCCGTGGATATGAATCATCTTCTACTTATACCAGACTCCAATTTGGACACACAAGTTACGATGCTGGGTTTTGTCGGGATGATTATATTTATATATTATTATTATTATTATTATTTCGCTCTCTGGGAGGCGGAGGCCTCCTTGACCTTCCCTTTCTCTCTTTCATTTGCTCTGAGGCGAATAAATTGGGTTCGGTGGGAAAGACGATAGAAACCTGAAAGTCCAGTTATTGTCACCTCCCACATCGGCTTCTGATGCAGCTGAAGGACGACACACTTCACCGAAAATGTATTTGCTTTGTAGGGTCATTTTGGTGTCTTTTCCTTCTGTTTTCCAGCCCTCCTCCTCCTCCTCCTCCTCCTCCTCCTCCTCTCTTCTTCCCTTTCTCCTTCTCCTTCCCTTCTTCCTCTTCCTCCTCGCCTTCCTTCTTAATTCTTTAAACCAGAAATCTGGTCAAAGCATCTCTTCCCTTCCACCAATGGATATTTAGGACTTCGGAATAAACAACTGCAACCAATCTGACTTCCGTAGAAGACTTGAACAATGCGTGGGTCAGAAGGAGGGCTGAGAAGGTATCTGCAGACCCCTCACATCCTAGACATAAACTGTTTCAGTTCCTGCCCCCCCCCCAGGATGCCGCTATAGGGCACTGCATGCCATCAGTCCATCGTGCCATCAGTCTTTGCTGAATACCTACAGTACTGCCTTATGTTGAAGCATATTTATCCATGTGGTATGGCTGTATTATTATTATTATTATTATTATTATTATTATTATTATTATTATTATCCTTTTCATCTTCTCTACTACCCCCTCTTATTGGTATCATTATTGTGCTTATTATTACTCTGTTGTTTTGCATGTACACAGAGAGCTTCTGCACTTGATACGAATTCCTTGTGTGTTCAACCACATTTGGCCAAATAAAGCCTATTCTATTCTATTCTATTTTATCCTATTCTATATTCTATTCTATATTCTATATTCTATATTCTACTATATTCTATATTCTATTCTATTCTATTCTATTCTATTCTATTGTCTATAGTCTACATTCTACATTCTACATTCTACTATATTTATTTATTCTTCTATTCTATTCTATTCTATTCTATTCTATTCTATTCTATTCTATTGTCTATAGTTACATTCTACATTCTACATTTACTATATTCTATTCTATTCTATTCTATTCTATTCTATTCTATTCTATTCTATTGTCTATAGTCTACATTCTACATTCTACATTCTACATTCTACATTCTACATTCTACTACATTCTACATTCTACATTCTACATTCTATTTATTCTATTTATTCTATATCCTACATCCTATATCCTATATCCTATATCCTATATCCTATATTCTATTCTTTCCCATTCACGTTATCCTCTTCTGCTTGTCTTGCTTGTTCTTCATTTACAGGGGTGGAAACTCATTTACCGGCTAACTTTGAGCATCCCAGCTCAGCTTGTAGATTCCTGGGTGCCTCAAACAGGCCTTACAATCAAAGTTCCTTCTTGCATCTTGACAGAGGAAGTGAGACAGAGAGCCCAATTTCCCCAAATCGTAAAGTTAAATAGAGTGAACAGGGAAGTTTCTTAAAAAGTAATGGAGCGAGATCGCCCATGCGGCTGCTTTTAAATGCCTTCGAACATAAAAAGGCTCCTATTTGCAGTTGGAAACAGCTCTTTAATAATACTGCGGAGTAATGTTGCACGGATGGAATCAAATGGCCTGTAAGAACCCAGATTTCTTTTTAATGACATGGTTATTAGTTGCTTTTTTTTTAAAAAAAATATATCTTGGTGTTAAGCCCTTTTTCTTTTGGTCTATCTTGAAGAATCCAGCAGGTGAAGCAATGAAAGTTGGCTCTTTTTAAAAAAAAAAAAAATGGAAATGGGTTATTTTAATTTCTTTGCTGGCTTCTGCAGCTTCTTAGCAATGACCAAAGTAGTTCGTTTATTGTCTTTTGGGAAAAGTGTATTTTTGAGGTTTGATGGCTAATAACACCACTTTTTTTTTGGAGTTTCAAGATAATCCTATTCCACTGCTGGAATGGCCTGGGAATAGCCCAGACCTTAACCCAATTGAAAATCTAGGGAGCCAAGCGGAGTTATAAGAATATTATGCTAAGGGTCAGTACTTTGAGGAGTGAGTAAGGGCATGGTAAAATATTATGTAATTAATTATGAATTAGCTTATTGTTGTGAAGAAGAAGTCACAGGGGGGGATGGGTGGTGAGGGGGGTTAGGGAAGAGGGGGGGAAAGGGGGAAAAACTTGTATTTGAAAACTTTTTAAATAAAAAAAAAAAAAAGAAAATCTAGGGAGCCGACTAAAGAAACTTGTTAGTCAGAAGCGACTCAGCAATAAAACCCAGTTAATAGAAGCCATCATTCAATCTTGGTTTCATATGATAACAGCTGCAGAACTAAAAGACTTGGTTTATTCCATGGGAAGACGTTGTAAGGCCATCATTCATGCTAAAGGTTACCCAGTTCAGTATTAACTGACATGGTGATAATTTCTGTATATCTAATTTTTTCTACCTGTTTCACTTTTCTTCTTTATACTGTAACTGCTATTCTAATAGAATAGAATAGAATAGAATATTGGAATGGAATGGAATGGAATGGAATGGAATGGAATGGAATGGAATAGAATAGAATAGAATAGAATAGAATAGAATAGAATAGAATAACAGAGTTGGAAGGGAGCTTGGAGGTCTTCTAGTCCAACCCCCTGCTTAGGCAGGAAACCCTACACCTCCAAGTTATGGAGAGACCTGGACCATAGAATGACCAAGAGTCGGACACGACTGAATGGATAACATCCATCATCTAAACTACTTTAAGATGCCAGGATCTGAACTCCCAGAATTCCCCAGACACACAGGCTCGGCTGGGGAATTCTGGGAATTGAAGTCTTGCTGAGATCAAGACCAGACTAGATGATCCCTCAAAGGTTTCTGTCTATGATTCTGTCTTTATTTTGCACGCAACTCTTCCAAGGGTCTGCATTCCAGTTTCCCCTTCTGTTATTCTCACACACACACACACACACAAATAATCAGACAATAAAAAGAGTTGGGACAGCAAAATCCCATCGCTGCAAACGCATCACAATGAAAAGCAATTTTAAACCACGCGTAACATACTAATGACAACATATCACATACACAATGAAGTAATAAATAATTAACTTACCCTGGGCAAGGCTGAAGTAGGAGTTGGCTCTTTTAAAATCAGCCACATGGCGAAATTAGACACACAACATTCAGAGAGTTTTCAAATGGCAGCTCGCTGGCTGATTTTGAACCCGCTGCTTTCTCTGTTTCCCCTACCTCGCAGGGTTGTTGTTGTTGTTGGGAAAGAAACATGGCAGGAAAGAGGCCATGTACACCAGTTTTATTTATCCCAAATCCCTTTCAGATTCACCCTTTTGTGTGTCTTTTACCCTTTCCCTTATATATTTCGTTTTCTTTATATTCTCCCCGTTGGTACCTTTTATGCCCTCTGCCTTGTAAATTTATACGTATTTTATGTATATGTTTAGCAGTTTATGTGGCTATTACAGACCATTTCCTGCCCATTATTTTTTTATTTTATCTTCCTAAAAAGAAAACCCCATCCTCTTTATGTTGGTTTATGATTGTAATAAGAATGGATTAATTGATTGATTGGGAGCCGTCATCCCTGCAGCCAAGTGTTTATGAGATGGACTGCAGCGATTTCCGGTACCCGAAGTTGAGCAATCAAATAGCCAGGTGTATGAGATAAAAATCAGGAATAGAATCAATTTTAATTGTAAGCCGCCCCAGGCAAGAACGTACGATCGGTGGCTGTATAAATGGAATAGATAGATAGATAGATGAGACAGAGATGATAGATAGATAGATAGATAGATAGATAGATAGATAGATAGATAGATGAGAGAGAGATGATAGATAGATAGAGATAGATAGATAGATAGATAGATGCTAGATAGATAGACAGAGATAGATGAATAAATGATGATAAATGATAGATATAGATAGATGATAGATGATAGATGATAGACGAATAGATAGATGATAGATGAATAGAGATAGATAGATGTAGATGTAAATAGAGAGATGATAGATGGATGATAGATAAATGATAGATAGATAGATAGATAGAGATAGAGATAGATAAATAAATGATAGATAAATGATAGATATAGATAGATGATAGATGATAGATGAATATATATATATATATATATATATATATGTAGAGAGAGAGAGAGAGAGAGAGAAAGAGAGAGAGAGAGATGAATAAATGATGATAGATAAATGATATAGATGATAAATAAATAGATAATAGATGAATAGATAGATGATAGATGAATAGAGATAGATAGATAGATAGATAAATAGATGGATGATAGGTGATAAATAGATGATGATATAGATGATAGATATATCTAGATAGATAGATAGATAGATAGATAGATAGATAGATAGATAGATGATAAATAGATGATAGATGAATGAGATGAATAGATAGATGATAGATAGATAGATAGATAGATAGATAGATAGATAGATAGAGACAGACAGACAGACAGACAGACAGACAGATAGATCAAGCTACCTGTATGTTCATGAGGAGGCCTCATCCTTCCACATTCCCAGAATGGATACTTTCTGTCTTGTAGCCGAGTCCATGTTGTCTCTTGCGCTCTGCAGATGTTGGCTAGTCCATCTCGGGCCACCGTCCATGACATTAAACCCGGTTTCACAGAACATAGAATCGTAGGCTGGGAAGGGACCTCGGAGGACTTCTAGTCCAACCCCCTGCTCCAAGGCAGGAGACCTTTTACCATCCTGGTTAAATGATAGTCCAGTCTATTCTGGAAAGCCTCCAGTTCGTGGTTTAGTTTCTACAACCCCCAATTCTGTCTGAATCGGGCTGCCCCTTGGATTTACGGAGCTGTGGGGCTTCCAAGCCCTTTTCTCTCTTTTTTGGCCTGTCCAGTTGAAACAAACCAGGTTTATTTGTGGTTGGGGGTCGCAAACAAGGTCCACAAATGTGGCTGGTTGATTGTTTGGACCTGTGAACCACCTTGAAGCCTTCAGTTTCTCCTCAAGGTATCCAGGAGGCCAAAATGGCTGTTTTTGGACATATCTTGGAGGCACGTGAGGAAAAACCAGGTGAGTTTTCTCTCATGGAGGCTTTGACTCCCATCTTCCAGGATGAGCTTCTTGACTCCGGGTTTGGGGCTTCATCTGAACGGCCGGCGAAGCTCAACACCCTCCAATCAGCTAGGATGGAAGCAGATCCTTTTCCTCCTCACGACTGCCCTCCAGAGCAGACCTTTCCCCCGCCCCAAAGCCATTTTCCAGGTGTGCGTGGACTTCAACTCCCACAATGCCACAGCCAGCGTGGCCATGGATGAGAATTCTGGGAGTTGAAGTCCCCCCAGGCTTATAGGTTGTGACTAGGCCCGAAAAGGCCTCAGTTCCAGAAGTGACGGCAGCTCCCCTCTTCAAGTTCCTTTTTATTAATAAAATAGGAAAAAACCTTGATTTTTTTCTGACTTGGTTGGCGGAAAAGGGGTACCCAGTAAAATGGGGGCCATTTTAGGCAGCGGGTCTGCCTCAGCTACGCCATTTGCGTAAATGGAAGTTGTTTTGTGTAAAAGATACGTCAGGTGTGTCTCTTTTACCTCCTCGCCCAATGAACATTATTGGAGTCAAAAGTAACAGAAGAACAGAGTTGGAAGGGACCTTGTAGGTCATCTAGTCCAACCCCCTGCCCAAACAGGAGACCCTTTTACATTTTACACAGAAGAGCATCCTTTGCATAAATTGCACGCCGCGTACCTGCGTTTTTTAAGCCCTTTTTGCCCAAATGCATGTTGCAAATGACACCATGCATGTCAATTTGCTTGCATCCACGTAAGTCTTTCATGCAAATTGGTGGTTCAAAACCAGATTAGGACCCTTTCATAAATCTTATTTTACAAACCACTTACACACACATCTGGGTGCGTTCATTTTCTAAATCTGACCGAAACCCCAACTTTAGCAGGCAGGGTAAAAATAAAAATGAAACGAGGAAGATCTGCAATTCATTTACTTTTTCCCTCCTCCTGTGCAAAATCTTGAAAACGGTCTGCATGAACCGTGATTTCTGTGCAAAATGCCACAATTGGGTCCAATTTCCCAGGCAGTGCGTTTTGCGATTGGTGCGCGAGTCGAGCCCTTCGTGTTCCCATAAATCCCGCTCATATGGAAGTCAGCGAGCTGTAAAATACAGTTGTCTCTCATTTGTTTACGGGTTTTCAGCCAGGCTGCCAGAAAAAAAAAAAAAACGCAAACAAAAAACAAAATAAATAATAATAATAAAAAGGACCGAGACGGGATCAGATTCTTAACAGCTCCCTAAATATGCACTGATTATTTGTTTGGTTACAATATTTGTAGCCATCTGCTACCTCTAGTGCAGGCAAGCCAGAACAGGGAAACAAAAATAAAGACAACGCAGAAATGGAAACAATATTGAAAATGTCACTTTGTCAACGTCAATTTGTCCAGTTTGATCCCTTCTGCTTTGCAACGGCGGGTTCATTATGGAGTTGACATGTGTCAGCGGATTTCTGCACCCCCCCAAACCTGGCATTTTCCTCCAAGGGAAATCTAGAATCTTCAGAATTGGGAAACTGTTTATTTCACTTTACTGTGCAAATTTCACTTTACCCTGGAATAGATCCATTCAGAACTTTTACACGTAGAATGTCTAACTTCCTTCCTCCCTTCTTTCATTTTTTGTTCCTTCCATGCTTTTTACATTCCTTCCTTCTCTTTCATTTTTCCTTCCTTCCTTCCCTTTCATTTTTTCCTTTCTCTCCTTCATTTTCCTTTTTTCCTTCCTTCCCATTCATTTTTCCTTCCTTCCTTCCTTCCTCCCTCCCTCCCTCCCTCCCTCCCTCCTTTCCTTTTCATTTTCCTTCCTTCTTCTCCTTCATTTTCCTTTTTCCTTCCTTCCCATTCATTTTTCCTTCCTTCCTTCCTTCCTTCCTTCCTTCCTTCCTTCCTTTTCATTTTTCCTTCCTTCTTCTCCTTCCTTTTCTTTTCTTTTCTTTTTTCCTTCCTTCCTTACCATTTATTTGTCCTTACTTCTTTGTCTTTCCTTCCTTTTTCCTTTCTTCCCTTTCATTTTCCTTCCCTCTGTTCATCTTCCTTCCTTCCTTCTTCCTTCCCTCCCTCCCTCCTCTATCAACTATCTTTCCAAATCTATCTATCTATCTATCTATCTATCTATCTATCTATCTATCTATCATCTATCTATCTACCTACCTACCTACCTCTCTATCTTAGATCATTTCAACCACCCACCCGCCAATACTGGTTTATTTTTGTGTGTCTTCTGCCTATTTGAGCCACGGTGGCCCAGTGGTTAGAGTGCGGTACTGCAGGCTCCTTCTGCTGACTGCCGGCTGCCTGCAATTTGGCAGTTCGAATCTCACCAGGATCAAGATTGACTCAGCTTTCCGTCCTTCTGAGGTCGGTAAAATGAGGATCCAGATTGTTGGGGGCAAGAGGGCAAGATTCCGTAAACCGCTTAGAGAGGGCTGTGGAGCATTGTAAAGCAGTATATAAGTAAGTGGTATTGCTATTTATGCCAAGCGGCAAAAAGTTTACGGCCCTCGAAGTAAAAAATTCTCGTGATTGCTCCAGCCCTGAACATCCGGCAAACAAACAAACAGCTTCCTGCTCTTACTAACATCTACTCTCCCGCGCTCTCCTCAACATATGTAAAACAACTTCAGGGGTCCTCAAAATACGGCCCACAAGTCCTCTTTCTCTGCCTCCCCCATAAGAGAACTTTGGTTATCGTGTTCCGAAAACCACAAGACACGGCTGTTTTTTGTGGAAAGGTTTACTAGCCCCTCGCCAGCATTTCCAATCAATTTTTTTTTCTTTTGGAAGGTGGGATGAGGAGGGGGGGCCTTTCATAATTGCCCCATTTATTCTTCTCAGAAGCATTTCTTCTGCAGCACCGTGGAGCCAACCTCTCTGTATTCTCGCTGCGTGACCCACATGTCCTGAAAAGAAGGCAAGCTGGTGAGGACCGACGCGCCAATCCAGACGGAATGTATCCGGTTCGCCGGAGCTTCCAGTTTGGTCGGCAGGCCCTGAGGGCCTAGACTTCTTAGCTCTTTGAGAAGACGTTCGCAGAGACCTGGAAACAGGGTAGATCCTCCCGCTACGATAAGGCTTCTCCAGAGGTCCTGGCGGATGCTTCCTTCACATTTGGAGATGGTCTCGGCGATCATTTGGTGGATCCCCGGTGCCGTAACGCCAGCATCCGTCGGGTTAAAAAGGGATTCGGGAGCTCGGAAGAGCTGGTCTCCGATCTCGACAGGCCTGCCATCCGGGAGTGTGTATTCGCGGACGGACACTTTGTCTTTCGGGCGACTTGAATCCAGAGCCACGTAGCACAGGTTCTCCTTGATGTTCTTCACAATCTCCTTCTCGGCAGAGCTCAGGAAGTTATGCCCGCTCTCCAACAGGAGGGTCGAGAGATACCTGGTGATATCACGCCCCGCGAAATTCATCCTGGAGATGGCATGGAGCAAGCAGTGGCCTTTGTAGATGGGGACAGTCAAAGTGACTCCGGCACCGCTATCTAAAACCAACCCTGTGGTACGAGCAGAAGCGTACAAGGCCATCAAAGCTTGAAGGCCTACAAACATCGCTGGGACTTGGAAATGCTCAAACATAATCTCTGTCATCTTCTCTCGGTTTGCCGTTGGGTTCATGGGTGCTTCGGTCAACAGCACCGGCCTCTCCTTGGCTCTTACCTTGAGACCATGCCTGTAGATGTATCTCCAGATCTTCTCCATATCATCCCAGGAGGTCACTATCCCATGTTCCACTGGGTATTTAAAAGATAAGATTCCTCTTTTGGCTTGGGCTTCCTTGCCGACGTAAGACGTTCTCTGAACGGGGCCAAACATGATTGCGTGGGTCTTTGGGTAGCCGACAATCGTAGCCACCATGGTCCTGGGAGCCTCTTCTCCAGAAAAACCCGCTTTGCAGAGTCCTGACCCATTGTCAATAATGACGGCGGTTCTCGACCGAGACATCTTCAATCCGACGAAGAACTGAATTCGCAACAACTGTTTTCCTCGCTCTAGTCTAGTAGGACAGCACAGAACGTTGGGTCCGTCTAGGTTCTAGATCCTTAGATATCACAAACGGGTTCCTCCCTTTTCAAAAACCGGCTTCTCATATTATGTACAGGCGACATATATTTCTGGAAACAAGGTCTTCTCCGAATAGCCAGGACTTGTCTTGGGGAGATTGCGAGCATCCACCGTGGATGTTCAAAGATGATAGTAATTACCGGTTGTCTTTCTGAACCAGGCTCAACCAAATATGTTTCAGGTGGCCAAGGACGTAGGGCACCATGATGCTTCTTGCCCTCGGATCCTAGAAACGAGCTCTCCCCGGTTTCAATTTATTCACAGTTGCTCCACTGTGGTGTTAATCGGTGGTCTTGTCTGTTAAATTTTTGCAGATGTTGAATAAGCTTTCAGTTTGATCTTCGGTGGCCAGCCAATGGAGGCCAAGTTGGAGTTGTCATCAGCAAAGTACAATGACATCAAACAGAACAATGGAAGTGCTTAAGATGGGCCTAGTATGGGTGGCCATCCAAGGTTAACCTCTGGGGAGACAACTGAGATACCAATTGAAGATAAAAATCAGTAATAGTAGTCACGTAAGATAAGTGGTGGATTCTAGGTGTTTCTCCATCAATAACAGCAATCCTAGCCCCCAAATTATAGGAATTTTAATATGAGATATATATATATATATATATAATGTTTTTCTATCGAAGCACCTAACAAGTGCTTCGATAGAAAGTTAAAACAAGTTCAAATAAACAAGTTTCTTTAGTCAACTTCGTAGATTTTGTTTTTGTTCGTTTTTGTTTTTATTGGATTTATATACCGCCCTACTCCCGAAGGACTCAGGGCGGTGAACAGCCACAGAATAAAACACGTAATACAAAAATTTAAAATAGAATAAAAACGAATGAAATAATTTGGTTGAGACAAATTTAATATACCCAATAATTTAAAAACAAATGAAAATTTACATTTAAAAGGGGAAAAGAATTAGGCCAGGACAGCTTGATGAAATAAAAAAATATTGAGCGCGCGACGGAAGGTGCGCAGATCCGGGATCCTCCGTATCTCCGGGGGGAGCTCGTTCCAGGTCGTAGGTGCCCCCACAGAGAAGGCTCTCCCCCTGGGGGCCGCCAGTCGACATTGTTTGGCCGACGGCACCCGGAGGAGCCCCTCTCTATGGGAGCGTACTGGCCGGTGGGAGGCTATTGGTGGTAGTAGGCGGTCCCGTAAATAATTTTCAACTGGGTTAAGGTCTGGGCTCTTCCCAGGCCATTCCAGCAGTGGAATAGGATTAACTTGAAACTTCCCCCACCCCCAAAAAAAGCGGAGTTATTAGCCATCAAACCTCAAAAATACACTTTTCCCAAAAGGTTTCTACAATTTTGGGCACTATTGTAGCTTGGCAGAGTTGTATGAATGCGTCAACCATGAGACAAGGGTTAAGGAAAAGCCAAGGTGAGACCATCTCTCCATTTCTATTTCTATTGGGAAGATGAAAAACCAAATTACATAATCATCCTCGACGTACGACCACAATGGAGCCCCACCTTTTGATTGCTAAGTGAGACAGTTTGCTAAGTCTGCTTGCCTCACCTTACTGAACTTTCTTCCCACATTCGTTAAGTGAATCCCTGCAATTCTGAAGTGAGTAACTTGGTTGTTAATTGAATCTGGCATAAAAGGTCGTAAAAGGGGGGAAATCACGTGACCCTGGGACAAAGCAACCATCATCAATGGGAGTCAGTTTGCCAACCATCCGAATTTTGATCACATGACTCCCGGGGCTGCTGCGACGGTCGTAAGTGTGGAAAAACGGTCCTAAAATGGTCACGTTTTCCAGAGCCGTGGTAACTTTGGTCGCTAAAGGAACTGTTGTAAGTCGAGGACTCCCTTTAGCTCTGAAGGTCTCTAAGCAGGAGTGGACTTCAAAAATTTTAGCCAGGGATGCTTTGCCCGGTGGCTGGGTGGGCGTGGCCATGGTGGGCGTGGCCTAGTCAGCCTCCTGCACCATGGTGGAGGGGGTGTTTTTGCCCTCCCCAGGCTCCAGAGGCTTTTCTCGAGCCTCCAGGAAGGTGAAAATGGCCTCCCCAGGCTCTGGAGGCCCTCTGGAGACCGGAAATGGGCTCTTCCTGAACTTCCGGTAGGCCTGTTTTTAACCCTCCCGGAGCCTCCATGCGTGCCCTGCACTTACGTGTATCCAAAACGGGCCGTGTGTGGACTCCTGGGAGGGGAGGGGAGGGGTGGGCGGGGCCAGCCAGGAGTGGGATTTGGGGGTTATCCGAACCTCACAGAATCTTAGCTAGAGGTTCTTCCGAACCCTTGAGAACCCCCAGGAGCCCACTCCTGTCTCTTTCTCTCTCTCTTCTTCCCTCCCTCCCTCTCTCTCTCTCTGTTTCTTAGAAACCCCTGTTTCTAAGCAGGAAATACATTAAATCCCATCAGTTTCTCAGGCCTTAAAATCAATTATTTATTTAACCTTTTGGGGGGAGAAAAGCTGAACGCTTGCTATTTTTTTCTTCTTTTAATCGCCTTCAGCCTTCTGACCGACGCTGCCGCGGCTTTATGGCCAAAAGAAGGAGACATTTTCCCGTCCTCAGTAGCACCGTCGGTGGACAATATTTGGCCCGTATTCTCGGTAATCGGCAGCCGTCACCCACATCTGTTTGAAGGTGCTCAGGGAGGTGATGATAGAGGCCCCGATCCATGCCGAGAACCATCGGTCTGGGGGAGCGATGACTTTGATGGGGACACCTTGAGGGGCTTCTCCTTCTAAGCCTTTGAACATCCGTTCATCCAAACCTGGGAAGAGGGAAGACCCTCCTGAGATCAGCACGTTGGAATACAGCACGTTACGGATACTGGGGTCGCATTTCTTGACGCTGTGGGCCACAAGCTTGTGGAGACCCTGACCCTTGTGGTCGATGTTGCTCGGCCTGAAAAGGATCTCGGGAGCCAGGTAGAGGGGGTCCCCGATTTTGATCCTGTTGCCATCAGGAAGCTTGTATTCTTTGGGGAGGTCTTCGGAGTGCTTGCTCTCTCGGTGTCGGGCGTCTAAGGTCACAAAACACAACTTGACTTTGATGTCCTCCACCACGGTGTTGGCTTCCGGAAAGTTCCAGAAGTATTGCCTGTTTTCTAGAAGAAGTTCCCTCAGGAACTGTGTGACGTCGCGGCCCCCCAGGCCCAGCTGGGAGACAGCATGGGGAAGACAGTACCCCTCGTACACTGGGACGGCGTGGCTGATCCCATACCCGCAATCGATGACGATCCCCGTGTAACGTGCAGAAGCGTAGAGGGAGAGGATGGCTTGGATGGAGAGATAGAAAGCCGGGACCTTAAAATATTCAAACATCAGCTGGGTAAGCTTGGCTCGGTCCTCTTTTGGGTTCAAGGGGGATTCTGTCATCAGCAGAGGCCTCTCGAAGGCCTTGACCCCCAACCCTTTCTCGTAGATGTACTTCCAGACGGTCTCCATCTCATCCCAGGAAGTGATGACGCCCGCTTCGATGGGGTAGGTCAACGAGAGGACGTCTTGTCTATGCTGGGCTTCGAATCCCACGTAGCATTCTTTCTGCTTAGCCTTGGAAAGAGGTAGCTTGCTTCTGGGGTAACCAAGGACGGTGGCCATGACGTGCCTTGGACTAATTTCTCCAGAAATCCCCGATTTACAAAGTCCGGAGCCATTGTCAATGATGACAGCTTGGGAGCTGGAGATTCGAGCCTTCGATGCAAATCCTTCTCGGCCCATTTCGGGAGAAGATCAACCTGTTCAGCACCTGATCATAGGCATGGTGTCGGCGACTCGGATATGTATCTTTGAGTGTTTCCTGGGAATAAAAAAACTTCTCAGTCTGAAAACAACAACAAAAAACCCACAGCCTCTCCCATTTGATAAAATTGGAGAAATGGTCCATAGCTACGACTTCACAATGAATGAGGTCCTGTCTAACCATTGTTGAGTTGTCTCTAGGAGACCAGAAAGTTCAAGAGGCCCTTCAAAGCTACCTTGATGCAGACAAAGATGATTTCAAGTCTACTCATGGTCAACAGCCACTATCATGGCCACAGATGTTCTTCAGATATTTAGGATGGGACCAGAAAGTTCAAGTGGCATGTCAAAGCTACTTTGATGTAGACAAAGACAATTTCAAGTCAACTCTTGGTCAAGAGCCACTATCATGGCCACAGATCTTCTTCAGATATCTAGGATGGAACCAGAAACTTCAAGAGGCATGTCAAACCTACTTTGATGAAGACAAAGATGACGCCACGTGTTCTCTTGGTCAAGAGCCACAATCTTAGCCAGAGATGTTCTTCAGATATCTAAGATGGGACCAGAATGTTCAAGAGGCATGTCAAACCTATTTTGATGAAGACAAAGATGACGCCATGTGTTCTCTTGGTCAAGAGCCACTATCTTGGCCAGAGATGTTCTTCAGATATCTAGGATGGGACCAGAAAGTTCAAGAGGCATGTCAAACCTATTTTGATGAAGACAAAGATGACACCACATGTTCTCTTGGTCAAGAGCCACAATCTTGGCCAGAGATGTTCTTCAGATATCTAAGATGGGACCAGAATGTTCAAGAGGCATGTCAAACCTACTTTGATCAAGATAAAGATGGTTTAGCCTTTTCTCCTTGACATGATATACTATCTTGACCAGAAATGGTTTTCAGATATTTAAAATGGAGTCTTCCACAAGTGCAAAATAAAATCCAAAGTATCTCAAGAACATGAGGCTGTCTATCTTCTCGTCTCTCTCTTTCCCCATCTCTGTTCCTGCCTACTCCAGTTGTTGGGTTTCGTAGAGTTTAGAACAATAGGCTCGGAAAGATCCTTGGAGGTCTTCTAATTCCCCCTCTTACTCTAGTAGAAGTGCCTCTACCGTTCTCTTCTTACAATACAAAATTACCAAAATTGCCTCCAAAACATCAGAGGTGTCTTTCCTTGTTGCTGGCACCCCTATTGGTGATTGAGAGGATTGCACCCTCTGTTGGAAAAGCGTTAGATTTACAGAGCCGGCTCATTGTAGGAAGCAAAAGCCAGTGAAAACTCTATAAAATGCATTATTATTATTATTATTTTTGGTCTCAGATCGATTTGGTAAGAAGGGTGGAAATTAAGATAGCCCTTCTTCTGCCCAACTTTTGTTTATTTTCAGGAGCATAATTTATCAACGCAAACCAGCAGTGGGTTTCAGATTATGTTACCATCGGTTCGCCTTGTGGATGATCAATTCATGCGTATGCGCGACCCCAATTCGCACACGTGCCCGCCTTCCGCGCATGTGCCCAGCCTCCAAAACGTGCCTAAATAGGATGGCATAGAGCTCGTGTGGGATTTCCGCTACCGGTTCGGGCAAACTGGTTCAAACCGGCTGAATACCACTTCTGAAACACACCTCCCAATCGTCTTGTTTGTTCGGCCCTCCCCATCTCAGCATTTCCAGTCGCTATGGAAAGGAAGTCCATCGTACCTCTCCTGTTAAGTAAGGAAAGCAAAATAGGACTTCTGAAGAACAAAAGACAATGAAGAAAACGGAGCCTGGTCCTGGTGCCCGTGACTCCATCATTTATTTACTGTAAATTCTAGCCATTCAACACATCCGAAGACAGATTTCATATACACATATAAATTCAGACATATGAGAAATCCATCTTTGGATAGACACAACAGAAGTTCAAAGAATTATATGTGATCGATGAACGTTTTATGTCCCTCTAATTATTTGAACTTCCACCGTTCTAACCCATCTACAAAGGGAGACAATTGTTCCTAAAAACATTTCCGGTGCACCACAGCAGGTCCAAATTCATGGTAATCGTTCAAGGTGACCCACATCTGTCTGAATGCCGTTAAGCAAGTCAATATGGAGGCCCCGATCCACACGCAATACTTCCTTTCCGGAGGAGCGATGATCCTCACCGATATCCCCAGAGGTACCTGAAGTTGCATCTCTTGCAAGATGCGCTCATCCAGCCCACAGAACAACGTTGATCCTCCCGAAAGGAGGACGTTGCCGTAAAGATCTCGTCGGACGTCGATGTCGCATTTCATGATGCTGTTGAAGATCATTCGGTGGACGCCCGGCGCATCGATGCCGATGTCGGTGGGGGCGAAAAGGGCTTCTGGAGCTCGGAAGAGTTGACTCCCAATTTGGATGACGTTTCCGTCGGGTAACTTGTACTCTCTGAGGAGATACTCCGGCTTAGTTTTCATTTCTTGGACGGGATCTAACGCTACATAACACAGCTTCTCCTTGATGTCCTTCACAATTTCTCTTTCGGCCGTGCTGACGAAGGAATGCCCGCTCTCGAGAAGAAGCCTCATGAAGTATTCAGTGATGTCCCTTCCAGCGACGTCCAACCTGGAGACCGCGTGGGGCAAGCAGTACCCTTCATAGATAGGAACCGTGTGGGTGACCCCATCTCCGCTGTCCATGACTATGCCGGTGGTACGTGCTGATGCATAGAGTGCCAAAGTGGCTTGGACAGCCACATACATCGCTGGGACCTTGAAGTTCTCGAACATGATCTGAGTCATCCTCTCCCGATTCTGGAGGGGATTCAGAGGGGCTTCGGTCAGCAACACGGGCCTCTCGCTGGACTTGAGCCTCAATTCGCAATCGTAAACGTGCCTCCAGATCCGTTCCATGTCGTCCCAGGAGGTCACAATACCGTGATCGATGGGATAATTCAAGGATAAAACGCCCCGTTTGGACTGAGCTTCTTCTCCAATGTAATATTCCTTCTGGCCTGCTCCGAGCATCGTAGCTTTGGCTTTCGAACGGCCCACGATGGCTGTGATGACTGACCTCGGAGCGCTATCTCCGGCAATGCCAGCCTTGCACAATCCGGATCCGTTGTCGAAGATCACAGCTGGGATATCTAAAAATCTGGGATCGGACATTCCGTAGACTGTTCCTTGTTCACCTGGAGAAATGGTCTGGATTGGAGGCCACTTAGAATGCTTGAAAGGAAAGGTTCTAGAGCAGTGATGTCATACACACTATTTCTTCAGAGGAGGCAGCTTTGGGAAGCTCGAAAGATGCTACCCCCAATGTTAATAATACAATAACAGGGTTGGAAGGGACCTCAGAGGTCTTCTAGTCCAACCCGCTTCTCAAGAAGGAGACCCTATACCACTCGGGACAAATGGCTGTCCCATCTCTTCTTAAAAACCTCCAGTGATGGAGCCCCCACAACTTCTGAAAGCAAGACGTTCCACCAATTAATTGTTCTCGCTATTAGGAAATTCCTCCTTATTTCTAACCCTTCTCTTTTTGATTAGTTTTCATCCATTGCTTGTTGTCGTGCACCATTGATTAGGTGTTAACAAAATGTAGTGGTACCTCATACCAGGGGTGAAATCCAGCAGGTTCTGACAGGTTCTGGAGAACCGGTAGTGGAAATTTTGAGCTGTTCGGAGAACCGGTAGTAGAAATTTTGAGCAGTTTCTGAGAACCGGTAGTGGAAATTTTGAGCAGTTTGGAGAACCGGTAGTAGAAATTTTGAGCAGTTTCTGAGAACTGGTAGTGGAAATTTTAAGCAGTTTGGAGAACCGGTAGTAGAAATTTTGAGCAGTTTCTGAGAACTGGTAGTGGAAAGTTTGAGCAATTTGGAGAACCGGTAGTAGAAATTTTGAGCAGTTTCTGATAACTGGTAGTGGAAATTTTGAGTAGTTGGGGGAACCGGCAAATACCACCTCTGGCGGGCCACAGACTGGGGAGGGAATGGAGATTTTTCAGTAACCTTCCCCTGCTATGCCCACCAAGCCATGCCCACAGAACCTGTAGTAAAAAAAAAAATAGGATTTCACCACTGCCTCATACTCAACGGCATCAAAGCTCACCAAAGTTGATACTGAAAATGTTGTCCCAATACTCGGCATTTGTTTAGTACTCAATGTGCTGCTATAGGAAGAGGGGCACGGCTGCAGGAAACGGACAGGAAGTCGGACATTCTGGGAAGGTTGCTGACAGAGATAAAGGGGCAGACCATCCAGTTGTCTGCAAGGAGTATAAATCCTTCCATTCCCCACCATCCAGTCAGAGCCGAAGAAGCTTCTTGGATGAGAAGGGAAACGTCTTCGAAGAAAAACGAGAAAGCATAGCTGCCTCTTGAAAAAAAGCACCTTAGGGACAACCATTACCTGGAGGACTGAGAATCTCCATAGGCAAACAGACAGAAAGTTCTTCCCAGCCAGAACAAATGGTCACGGGAAGAGGTGGTATTCAGCCGGTTCGGATTGGTTCGTCCGAACCGGCAGCGGAAATCCACCCACCCTCCCCGACTCTATGCCATCCTATTTAGGCAGATTTTTGAGGCCAGGAGGCAGGTGCCTGCACAAACCAGGTGTGTGTGCGCGGGGCGAACTGGTAGTAACATAATCTGAAACCCACCGCTAGTTATGTGGTAGATCACACGGTTTGTTTGAGACGCGTCCTTTTTAGTACGTGTCACAACCAATTAACGCCGAGTCCCGGGATGCACTCTGTAAAGGGTTGATGTCTGGATGAAGGCACCACACCGACAATCTTACGGAAAAGGGAGAACTTCAGAAGAAGAGTAGCCAAAAGAAAGGAATGCAGAAAAGATTCCGGGAAGGAGAAGAGACGAGTTCAAGTAGAACCGGTTTTACTTCTTAGTTGCCCTGGGGCAGAGAGTTCATTTCCAACCTCTGCCTCTTTCTTCTCCTGGATCAATGCAATTTATTTCCATGGTTCTTTTGGTGTTGCTGTTTTTTTTTTTTTTAAACCATTGAAACCAATGACCCAGTTAATGACAATCGCAAAGGGAAACTCATAACTGGTCTCAGGGTTATATTTTAACTGATTATGCTTAGGGCTGTGAACGAATAAAATCTATCTGACCCTTTGGGGTGGGGGGAAAAGAGGGGATGATATGTGATTTTCAGGGCTTTAATTCTAGGTTATATTTTTCCTTTTTTAAAACTATGTTGTGGAAAGGTGCTGAAGGTTGGGAGACCGAACCAAATCATAATTGTATTAAATTAAATACAATTTAATTGAATGGGAAATAAAACAAGAAGCGCCTTAAATTAAATAAGGACAGGAAATAAAATAATAAGTTCCTTAAATTAAATAGTAAATCCATGATCTCATTCAGTTCAATAAGAAAATTTCAGGTGGTCCTCAGTTTACCACAGTTCGTTTAGTGATTCGCCCGAACCGGTCTGAACCAGCTGAATTCCACCGGTTCGGATAGTTTTGGGCGAGCCGGTAGTGGCCGCCCACCCACTCACCCTTAGGCAGGAGGAAGCATGGACAACTTCTGAGAAGTTTCTCAAAATAGATAATGTCTTGAATGAAGCAGAATCCCCTGGGTTCAAAAATGAGACGCAGGCAGTTCGGTAGCTACCTTACTTCTCCTTGGAACCTCACCCAAAGTTCAAGATTTTTGGAGGGGATCTGTGTTTGATCTCGTATCTTTCAACCGAGTCCTTACTTCGAGCTGGCCACTTCTTTGAAGGAAATGCTGCTCCTTGGGCCGCTTCCCCGGAAAATGATTCTGGTTACGGCAGGCTTTTCTTTGAAGCTGCCCGTAACTTCAGGCGACGGGAGGAAAGCAATTAAAATAGACTTGCGAGAACCATTCATGATCGATTCCACTGGGCCTTTTTTTTAAAAAAAAATTTTTTTAAAAAAATATTCTGGTCCTAGTTTATATTCGTCACCCAGACTGGGTAATTTTCCTAAAGCACAATCTGAAGTTGAGAGTGAGAACCATCCGCTGGAAATAAAAAATGTGATACAGGTAAAATAAAAGGATAAACCAGGCAAAATTCACACACACACCTACCGAACCTTCTATAATTAATTTCATTCTTTAATTTAATTTCATTCCTATATTTCCATCTGCAACAAGTGTTTATATACCTCTCCTTTCTTCCCTCCTCCATCCCTCCCTTTTTTCTTCCCTTCTTTCTTTCTTTCCTTCCTCCTTCCTCCCTCCCTCTTTTCCTCCCTCCCTTCCTTCGCTTTCCTTTCCCTTTTTCCTCCTACCTTCCTTCCTCCATCCCTCCCTCCTTTCCTTCTCTGCCTCCCTCCCTCCTTCCCTCCCTCCTTCCTTCCTTTCCCTTTTTCTTTCCTTCCTTCCTTCCTCCTTCCCTCCCTTCTGCCCCTTTCTTCCCTCCTCCTTCTACTCTCCCTCCCTCCTTTCTTTTCCCCCTCCTTCCTCCCTCCCTCCCTCTTTTCCTCCCTCCCTCCCTTCGCTTTCCTTTCCCTTTTTCCTCCTACCTTCCTTCCTTCCTCCATTCCACCCTCCTTCCCTCCTTTCCTTCTCTGCCTCCCTCCCTCCCTCCTTCCCTCCCTCCTTCTTTCCTTTCCCTTTTTCTTTCCTTCCTTCCTCCCTCCTTCCCTCCCTTCTGCCCCTTTCTTCCCTCCTCCTCCTTCTTCCCTCCCTCCCTCCCTTTTTTCTTTCCCCACTCCTTCCTCCCTCCCTCCCTTCCCCCCTCCCTTTCTCCTTCCCTCCCTCCCTCCCTCCCCTTCCTTATAACCTGTTCAGAGAGAAAATTAAGGGCTAAAAAAGAATTCTCTGAACAAAGAGCAAAATTGGGAACAGGGGGCAAATTTATTTCTCTACCCCCAAAACAGAGGGGAAGAGAGAGGGGGGGAAGAAAAAACAAATTATAAACCGCAGAATTAAAATGATAGAGAGAAAGAAGATGCAGGGAGCCCCCCCCCCTCCCCGAAGCCCAAACCTATAGCCTTATCCTTTTATGGGAAACTTAAATTACTAACTTGGTAACTTGCAAATCCCCCTAGCCTTCCAGAGACAAGGCCATCTACTTCTTGAAACCCATTCCGTCCATCCGCTATCTCTGGAGAGGGAACGTTGGCTCTAATCGCACCACGCAGAAAATAATAATAATAATAATAAAAAAAACTTTTCTCCTCCAGATCAAACAAGCAAGGAGGTAAAACTCCAAGGAGCCCGGATTTAATTCCAGAGAATCTAGGAACAAACAGAAGGAGAGGAAAAAAGGAAAAAAAAAAGGCATTTCCAACTGCATCTATTTATGTCTCACTTTGGGGGCAAAGTGTGTGAGTTTTTTCTTCCTCCTCCTTTCGATGTTGCGCGAAGTCCATTATTTGAGTACCACACATCCCCTAAGAAAGATGGATTGGGGGCTGCTGAGGAGCAGGCTGAAGGATGCCAGGCCCTGGGGAGGGGGGGGGAAGGGCGGGGGCGCCCTTGGGGGGGGGGGGGGGGGCTGAGGGACTGGGTGAGAAGCATGGGGAGACCTGTGGGGACCCCGAGGGGCAGGAGGTAGGGTACAGGGGGGTCTCAGTGATATGGGGGCATCTGGGGCCTCTGCCAGGCCTCCTCAACCCCTGGCAGTGCCCACCCCCCCAGTGAGAGCAGGCTCTGTTACAATTGTAACTCGAGCCCCCCCCCCTTGTCATCCTTTTTGGGGTCACCCAGAATCACCTTGTAGGGGAGATGGGCGGCATAGAAAATAAACAGATAGATAGATAGATATTAAATAAACAAATGAATAAATATCTGTGGGTGGCATAGAAAACAATCAAAAATACCCCTCAATAAACTAATAAAGAAATAGGAATGAGTTTGCCTACCCTATGCAATCAAAAACAGCCCTTCCCTTTCCTCCCCTTCCCTCCCTTCCCCTCTTCCTTTCCTTTCGTATCTTTCCTCCTCTCCTCTCCTCTCCTCTCCCCTCCCCTCCCCTATTCCTTTCTTTTCCTTTCTTTTCTTCTTTCCTTCCTTTCCTTTCCTTTTCTCTCCTCTCCTCCCCCTCCCCTCTTCCTTTCCTTTCCTTCCTTTTCCTCTCCTCTCCTCCCCCTCCCCTCCCCTCCCCTCTTTCTTTCCTTTCCTTTCTTCTCCTTTCCTCCCCTCTCTTCTTTCCCTTTCCTTTCCTTTCTTCTTTCCTTCCTTTCCTTTCCTTTCCTTTCCTTTAATTTCTTCTTTCCTTCCTTTCCTTTCCTTTTCTTTCCTCTCCTCCCCCTCCCCTCTTCCTTTCCTTTCCTCTCTTCCCCTCCCTTCTTCCTTTCCTTTCCTTTCCTTCCCTTTCCTCTCCTCTTCTCCCCCTCCCCTCCTCTCTTCCTTTCCTTTCCTTTCCTTTCCTTCCCTCCCCTCCCCTCCCTCTTCCTTTCCTTTCCTTTCCTTTCCTTTCCTTTCCTCTCCTCTCCTCTCCTCTCCTCTCCTCCTCCTCCCCTCTTTCTTTCCTTTCCTTTCCTCTCGTCCCCTCCCCTCTTCCTTTCCTTCCCTTCCCTTCCCTTCCCTTCCCTCTCCTCTCCTCCCCTCCCCTCCCTTTCCTTTCCCACCATGGCGACCCTCCAACTCCTTCCAGTTTCAAAAGGGGGGCAGCGCCTGGGGAAAGCTTTTCCAAAGATGTTTACTTAGCCCTTTTCTAAATGTTTAAAAACTCCCGGCCAAATGAAAAACCCAAAGCATTAGCATCTTTCCTCGCTTGGATTTCTGGCTGAAGGTAGAAACCTGCCTCTATAAACAGGATTTGGAGAACTTGCTACCATCTCCTGGAGGTGAGGAAGGGCAGGAAAACAGGAAGGTGTCAGCAAAGCCTACAGGACTCCCTTCGGAAGGCCAGCTGGGAAGATGCGTGTTGGTTTTGGGGATGCTTCTGTGCCCCCAATAACTCATCCTCCCTCCCCACCAGGAGCACTTGTGGATCTAATTCTTGGCAGAACTTCAGGCATCGTTCTTCACCATGGACAGCCTGGAAAAAGACCAATTCGAAGGAACCGAATACCAGGTCAGTGCTGTTCTTTTTATATATATATAGAATATATAGAATATAGAATATATAGAATATATATTCTATAGAATATATAGAATATATATAGAATTCCCCAGCGATCAGCGTTTTGAGAAACGGTTCTACCTTGCACGGAGCAGCAGAGACGGCGGTAAGTAACCAGAGAATGATTGAGGGTCTCTCTCTCTCTCTCTCACACACACACACACATCCTGTGCTTCCAACTTGCCACCAAGAGAAGATCAAGATAAATTTCAGCTCCCAGAATTCTTGGTGGCCCATGCTGGCTCTGGGAATTCTGGGAGTTGAAGTCCACACGTCATAGGACATAGAATCATAGGGGTGGAGCCTCGGTTGCCAAGGTTGATCGATCTATATCTATCTATCTATCTATCTATCTATCTATCTATCTATCTATCTATCTATCTATCATCTATCTATCTATCATCTATCTATCTATCTATCTATCTATCTATCTATCTATCTGTCATCTATCTACCTACCATCCTATCTATCTACCTACCTACCTACCATCCTCTTATCCTATCTATCTACGTACCTACCATCCTATCTATCTATCTATCTATCTATCTATCTATCTATCTATCTATCTATCTATCTACTTACCTACCAACCATCCTCCTATCTATCTACCTATCTACCATCTTATCTCTCTCATCTATCTATCTACCTACCTATCATCCATCTATCTATCTATCTATCTATCTATCTATCTATCTATCTATCTATCCTATCTATCTACCAACCATCCTACCTACCTACCTGCCATCCTCCTATCCTATCTATTTATCTACTTACCTACCTACCATCCTATCTATCTATCTACCTACCTACCATCCTCCTATCCTATCTATCTATCTACCTACCTACCTACCATCTCCTATCCTATCTATTTATCTACTTACCTACCTACCATCCTATCTATTTATCTACTTACCTACCTACCATCCTCCTATCCTATCTATCTACCTACCTACCATCCTATCTCTCTCTCATCTATCTATCTACCTATCATCTATCTATCTATCTATCTATCTATCTATCTATCTATCATCTATCTATCTATCATCTACCTACCTACCTACCATCCTATCTACCTACCTACCTACCTACTATCCTCCTATCTCTCTCTCTAATCTACTCTATCTACCCTATCTATCTACCCTATCTCTCTCTCTATCTACCTATCTCTCCCTACCTACCTACCAACCATATCTATCCATCCATCTACCTACCTACTTACCTACATACATACATACATACATACATACTTATATACCTGCCAGTCACATGATGTGTAAAAATTGTGTCTGGCTTGCTTGCTTGCTTATTAATTGATCGATTGATTGAACTGCTATCTGTCTTCCCGATTGTACCTTGTTCTCCTTTTATCTACTGGGAGACAGTGTGTACTCAAGATTTGCACACCCGTCTCACTCAGACAATTAAAACCAGTTTCCCCACCTTCTTCTCATAATTATGAGGACAAGGTCCACCCCCAGCGGGAAGTGCAACTCAAGCAAAGTGTGTGCTGGATATATTTTAAGCAGAAGGGGAAACATAATTAAATGGGATATTAAATTTGGAAAAAAAAAAGTGCCTTTAGGATGATCTTTTAGGTGATCTTTTTCCTTTTTTTGTGTTACTTTTTGTTGTATGTGTATGTTTGATTTTTAATGTGTTTTTAATGTGTTTAAAATAAAAAACGTTTTAAAATTTAAAAAAAAAAAGGATGATCTTTTGAAGATATCTGATCTCTGTCTCCCCTTGAGGCCTCTCTGTATTTATAGATTTATTGTCAATTTTCAAAAAAAAAAATGTAGAATATAGTTTGTTGGATAGCAAAAATATACATCACTGAGTGGCAATAAAGACTCCAACTCTATGCTGCCCCTAGTGGACAGTTGATTTCACACTCTGAGAAAATACCCTTAAATGCAGTGTATTGTCCTTTATAAATATACTGTAAATATACTTATATATAATGTAAACAAATCCACCCTTCTCTTTTCTAACAAGGTTGGCTTGCATAATATTTTAGGTGTGATTGTGCGTTAAACTAAAATCACATCTTTGTTTTTTTCAAAAAGCCGCACGGCGGATGGCAATTAATCACAGATTTAGCTGGAGACTCTATAGCTCTTCCAGGAAAAATCTATACAGAAAAGGGAAAAACCTAAAACCCCAGATATTAAATACAGTGAATAAAACCCCAGGTAATAATAAAAAGAAATACAATATTCTGAGATTTTTACTAACATTTCAAAACTTAATTTTACAGGAATAAAAAGGTTTATGTTCCCTGTATTAAGCATTAAACCGAACCCATCTTTTTTTTGCCAGTCATAAAAATAATTCAACAGAGATCCTACAGTTTTCCCATAATGAGTTAGGAAACGCTATTTCCTTTGCGTTAAGGAACAGCTACGGTTGACGTATTGGATACAGAGATGGGCGAAAAAAAAATCTCATTCTGGATGTTTCTTTAGGGTTTGAAATAAACGTTGAGGTTTTAGGTTTTTTTCAACACAGAAAAAGTTGAAATGATCTGTTTTGTTTGTCCAACCGGGCAGTATTTGTACAATTTTGGACTGGTTGACCACAGCATGAGCTATTTAGCAGCTCAAACAGTATTTCCCCTTTCTGTCCACTGCTGTCCACTATGCTGAGCGAGAACACAAGATTGAGAATTTTCGTTCGAGTTTCCTTGACTCCATTGCAAGGAGTGCTTTTTTTTTTTTTCATTCTATTTTTTTTTTTAATTCAAAGGAAAGTTAAAACACAGAACCAGGGGTAGTATTCACTTATTTTCCCTACCGGTTCGCAAATGTGGCTTGCACGCATGTGCGTGGCTTGAAAACCTGCCTAAATAGGACAGCATAGCGCTGGGGCAGGTTGCTACTACCGGTTCGGGTGAACCGTTTCGAACCGGCTGAATACCACCTGTGCACAGAACCCAAAAAAAAGACACTAAAAACCCAAAGAAAACACGAAACAATCGAGACATTTTTAAAAACTGCATCGAAAGGAAAAGAAATGTTTACAAAGTTTTTAAATTTGGCGAGGAGCATAGTTTTGCCAATTGATTCCTTTGCATTTTCTGCATTTCCTGACGAGAATATAAAGCGAGACCACATAACCTGCAATTAAAAATGTTATGTTTAATTCGGGGGCTGTTGAGAGCCGATTTGGGTGGCTCGGTAGCAGTGTATCTCCAGTTTAAAAGACGGGTGGACTTCAACTCCCAGAATTCCCGAGTCCTCATTCAGAATTCTGGGAGTTGAAGTCCACACAACTTAAAAAGTTGCCAAGTTGGAGAAATGCTCTTCTCTCGCGGTGTTTCTCAACTTTGGCAAGTCGAATATATGCGAACTTCAAGCCACAGAGTTCCCCCATGCTGGCTGGGGAATTCTGGGAGTTGAAGTCCACCGGAGGTGGTATTCAGCCGGTTCGGGCGAAACGGCAGTAAGAAAATGTGAAACCCAACGCTGAAGTCCACGCATCTCATAACTTGCCACGGTTGAGAAATACCACTCTATAACAGCAAACTCTTTACTGCGACCGATCCAAAAACTCCCTGCCATGTGATTAGCTTAGTGTTTTTATATAACACAATTGTCCAGTTGACAATCGTTTAATCCAAATTGGATGTCTGGCTGATTGAAACCAGCCGTCTGCCTCTCGCTCAGCCAACCGAATTACTCCATTCACACGATGAATTAATCCCGCCTTGATTTAGTTTGTCATGTGAATAAGAGCAAGGAGGGGGGGGCGGGTTTAATTTGAAATTTTCCCCCTTCCGTTTTCCCTTTCCTTTCCCATTTTTTAATTATTATTTTTTTAATGAATTCCCCAAATGGGTGGAGATGCTGCCCTTCCGTACGACAAAACATGCTTGGGATGTTGGAAAACAGAAGGAAAGAATTATTCCTTGGATGCCGGGGAGAAAAAAAAAATAAAAATAAAAAAAATCTTGAATTTCGTTTTGGTTGAAAGGTTCAGATGGCAACGGATAAGAGGCGCTTTTGTCCGAAATCCCAGAGAATCCCTGCCAAGGTGGACAATATGTAAACAAGGTTGCTCCTGATGTAGATTTACCAATAAATAACATTCCACACTTAAGAATAACGTTTCCAGTCTTGGAACGGAGCATTTTCTGAGCCGGCTCTTTGCAAGACGCACCACCATTAAAGCCAGCAAACTAGGAACCATAACATCAAGCAGGACTTCATTGAGCGATTGTTCGAAGTTACAACGGAGCTGGAAAAAGTGACTTAGGATCGGTTTTTCACACTTATGACCGTTGCAGCGTCCCTACGGTCCAAAGTCGGCCGCTTGGCAACTGTATGACTCGTATTTATGACGATTGCAGTGTCCTGGGCTCATGTGATCCAATTGAAAAACATGGAAGTGAATTTGTCTATACTATTGTCCTTCTTCTCACTCTCCTTCCTTCCTTTCCTCCCTCCTGCGTGCCTGACTGCTTCTCTCCCTCTTTCTTTCTTTCCTTCTTTCCTTGCTTCCTGCCTGCCTTCCTTCCCTCTCTCCCTCCTGCCTGCCTGCCTCTCTTCCTCTTTCTTTCCTTCCTTCCTTCCTTCCCTTTTTCTTTCCTTCTTTCCTTCCCTCCCTCCCTCCCACCTGCCTGCCTGCCTTTCTTCCTCTTTCTTTCCTTCTTTCCTTCCTTCCCTCTTTCTTTCCTTCTTTCCTTCCTTCCTTTTCTTTTCCTTCTTTCCTTCCCTCCCTCCCTCCCACCTGCCTGCCTGCCTCTCTCTCTCCCTCTTCCTTTCCTTCCTTCCTTCCCTGTCTTTTCCTTTCCTTCTTTCCTCCCTTCTTCCCTCCCTCTCTCTCTCCCTTTTCCTTCCTTTCCTTCCTTCCCTCCTTCTTTCTCTCCCTCCCTCCCTCTTTTTTTCCTTCTTTCTTTCCTTCTTTCCCTCCTTCCTTCTCTCCCTCCCTCCCTCTTTTTTCCTTCTTTCCTT